TGTGATAGTGTTCATATGCAGATAAGCAAATAAATATTTAATTTATGGTGCAAACAAAACAGTGTTCAATGTAGTTAAACAGAGCTATGAAGTATATATTAATAAACACACATCTACCTACGTTTGTAGTGCAATTTAAAGTTTCATGGTTTCCCAGGTCGTCAGACACATATGGTGATTGATTTGCTCATTACAGTTTTTTTTTTTTTTTTTTTTTTTCAAAATACTGGGTCTCCTGGGAGGAATGCTGAATTACACTCAGATTCATAAAAAGCCAATATATTATATTGGGGGGTGGTGGTGGTGTAAATTACAAAAATGTAGAGTGTATGGAGGTAGATATTGGGGAAAAACAAAACAAAAAGAATATGATGCAAGCTTAGTTTATATGGTACGTGTGTTTCCGTTGGGAAGCAAGATTTAAGAAAGTATAAAGCATAAGGAGCAAGCAATATGATTAAAAAGGAGGGGGGGGGGTAGGTGCAGTGGATTGTTTATAAATAACCTCTATGTATCAAGAGAGGAACACTGCACAGTATATAAAGCTAATGTTTAATAATATAAGGAGAAAAATAAAAAAAATAAAGTGTAAATAGCGAAGGTAAAAGCTGAGAAAAAAAAAAGTATTTTTAAAGAAAAGATGAATGCCATGTAACCCATTACATATTAATAGACGCTTAAATGGTTAAAGGAGGTGGGGGTGGTAATAAGTATTTAACCTAAAATAGTTAATGCGCAGTTGAAGTTTGGTAAAAAGACTTATCCAGAATCAAAATACATTAGGAGAGAGTGCTTTTTATGGGTACAAGCTACCATGAGTTCACGGCATTTGTTCAGCACGTTGAGGGCAATAATATTTCTGAGAATGAAAATATATATATAATATATATTCATACATGTTTCATTAAATAATATAGACAAGTGTTGTCTACGTTATGAAAAGAATTTACATAAAATAAATAGATAACACTTGTCTATATTATTTAATGAAACATGTATGAATGAAAAATGCTGCCTAAATACACACTATATATATATATATATATATATATATATATATATATGTGTGTGTATATATATATATATATATATAATATATATATATATATATATATATATATATATATATATATATATATATATCTATCCAAGTAAAGGATTGGCATATGGAATAAATTCCAATAACCAAATATACTATTCTTAAATTAGTGCTAAATACAGAGTAGAGCAAATATAATTTATTCAAAATTATAACATAAATATGTTATAATTTTCGAATAAATTATATACACACACACACACACTTATTTGTGTGTGGGCAGTAAGAATTCAGTTAAACAAGTTGTGTTAAATTCAATGACAGGATCTGTATGCTTAATTTTTGAGTCAGTTGTTGCATTTTCAATATTTACAATATCTGTGCAAACAGTTTATTTAGAAATTGGAAAACTGCAATAAGAATACAATAGGCAGTCATTTGAATAGAATACAACCTTTTATATAAGCATTATTGCTAAAGCAGAATACATTGGGACCATAAATTATTTTCCTATAAACAGTTATTCATTTTTATACGCACTTCCATAAAAGCAGCACACACGTGTTTGATTCTCTTCCTTTGAAACGGCTGTCTGTTGTAATTGATGTTCATTTTAGAAACACAGCAACATTTTAAATCTTACACTGACAATTGAAAGGGTTTTTTTTGTTTGTTTGTTAAAGATAAGTAAAACCATTTGTAAAACTGCATCCTTCAATTTGTGCTTGAAAGGTCTCCTAATGTTTCAGAAACTGTTTTTTTTTTTTTTTTTTTTTTTAACGCAAAATTAAATGTTTGAATTAAATTCTTTAAAATAAAAAGCATGGGAAGTAACTCTGTATACACTATGCGAACACAGTTGTCAACCTTGCAATTGGAAGAAAAAAAAAACAGTGGGGAAAAGAAAAACTCCTTTCCACGAAATTATTTTCAAGAACTATTCTTTAGTTAAAAGCAAAAGATTGAGCGAAAGTTGTTGTACAGGAAATTAAAAAAAAATATATCTTCTTCCACATCCTGTTATTTCCAACAAAAAACAAATTCCTTTCAAGTAGTATGTAATGTTTTTCATAATTTATTATTTTCAATCTTTACATATATATATATATATATATATATATATATATATAAAAATGAAAGCAGAAAATATTTTTCCTTTCATTACACTTTTGTATTCTTATCTAACCTTCTTTTTCTTGTCCATTTTTATCTGTTCTTTTATTTCCTTCTCTTTTATTTCTCCTAAACCTAGAATATAATCAGATTAGAATCGATCAAGCAGCATTTAAGCTTTCATCACAATAGTTAGGAAGAAGTAGATGTGACAGGCAACAATAAACTACAGAAGAACTCAAAATTGATTGCATTTAAAGTTTAGAAGAACAAAGTGATTTCCACATGCAAGAAGTATGAGAGAAGAAATTGTTAAAATAGAACATACAGTTGCATCTAGTCAATTCAACTGCAATTAAAATTCTAAAAATATCATTTTTGAACAGTAAAAAACACTAAGGGAGTTTTTACAGTAATGTGTCTTTTTTGTGTATGATTGTTAACCTCTGCTGAAAAGTTGAGGCTTATGTAGAGGTTTTCATTTTTTTTTTTTTTTTTTTTTTTTTTAAATAGTTTTTTTTGTTTTTTTGTTTGTTTTAATTGGAGAAATATTTGTATGTGTGAAGTTAACTTTCTCTGTCTCTTTTCCATCATACTTCAAGTAGATCAAGCCCAAATATTTTTATTTAAAAGTTTGTCTTTCTCTCATTTTATACATATGTATTTCAGGGAAATCTATGATAAAGTGGAAAAAGTCTTTGTGACATGTTTTGGCTTTTAGGAGATCATCAAAATAAAGTGATGTTTATATTAATGCATCTATATACACTCAAAGGAGAGAGAGAGCACTGAGAATTTTTTAATTTATTTATTTATTTTTTAAATATATGTTTTGGGTATATAGTCTTGCCAATTTTATTTCATTCATTCATTTATTTATTTATTTTTTTGGTTTTATCACTTTTGTTATTAAATATTCCACACTGGGATAATAGAAGATCTCTCAAGAAAGGGGAAATGTTGTAAGAACCTGGATGCAAATTTACTCTCGATGATCTAGCAATTAAAGCACTTTTTTACACATCTTCATCTTAGTAAATTGCTTTCTCTTTTAATTAGAGTAGCAATTTTTAAATCAGAATTGTGGCACGTCTCATTATGTGGAGCCACTAATTTGTTGTTTTGTAAATTATCTCTTTTGTGTTCATATAATCTTTTTATTTAAATTCCTTGAAGCTTCCTTGTGGAAATTATTACAGGTGGTAGAATAAATTCCTCCTTCAAATTTTAGTATATTATTTTGTTTTGTATTCAGTCTTTTATTATTTTGTAGTAGTTGTAATGACTTAATTTTATATTAAGCTTAGATAAATTCTTTTCAATTGTAGTGGAGAGTAGAAGCATAAACATTACTTTAGGCCAACAAAGTCCTATGGGAAGAAATGCGTCACATGAAAAATTTTTCCACTTTGTCATAGATTTCCTCAAGATTGTTCTTCATATATAAAAAAATTTATATATTGTTTTCTGAGATATAGATATATATCTCAAATGTTTGCAAGTAAGTTTCATGTGTATATAACATGCAATCATCAGGCAGTGAATGATGGCCTCTGCTGTCAGGATAGATTTGTTACCCATTGACAAAGCCAAATCTTTGATGGCTATCATATATACATGTAATGTACAAAATCACTTAGGAGAAAAAACAACTGCATGGCAAAAGATACTACAGCCAAGCTTACAAAACCGGTAATGATATTAAGAAATATATATGTGTGAAGCATTTTCAATTTTTTTTTTTTTTAATGGTTTTACTATAATAGATGAATTTATATACTCGGAATATGATGATAAAATATGGAATGTGATGATAAAAAATCATCAATGATAAGTTAGAGCAAAACAAGTTTGTGTTGTGTCCATGAAAACATGAAAATTATCAAAACAATATACAACTAATGTATATTCTACTTCCATCACAACCATAAAATAAAATCTAGAATAATTGTAGGTTTCTACTTAAGATTGCTTAGTATATGTAACCAAACAATTCCTACCCAATGAGGAAAAACACATTGAAAACTATTTCAAGCTCCTCCAGTACCCAAATTATTTTTCTGCATCATGCTTAAGGCAAAGCCTATAAAATTCACTGGGGAAAAATTGAAAAATCCATAGATGATGATGATGATAATAATAATAATCCCACTCATTCTGGCAGAATTAGGCACTTAATTCTACTCAGCAACACCATAACAGCTACCCTTGGAAAACAACTTATTCAGCCTTATTTAAAATTTATGAATACTACTGTAAATGATATATCTAACATTTTCGCCCCAGCCCCTCAACCTTCGATGTCTTACTCTCTGGGTTGTGGTGTCTACTTGGTCCTAACCGAACTTAAGGGAGCATCTGTAGATTATTCGACCGGTCCACTGGTTTAATCCTGCTTCCTGCCCATGTTGTGTTTGGTTTGATCCAGAAAGCAGAAGTGATGTTCATCCATTCATGGTCGACTGAAAGCTGGACAAACAACTATTCAATGATTGAATTGTTAATGTCTTTTATATAACAGAAAATAATAGCATAGAAAAGAAACGGGTTACAGAAAAGAAAAATAATTAACATAATAATGCATACACTGAATTCTGGACAGAGAGAGAGAGTGTGTTATGATTAACTTGTCTCAGAACGATATGACTCTTGCGATGAGGGAATAAGATTTCTGTATGCGGCTTAAAGATAATAGTGGTGTTCCTCCTTAACAGTAGTAGTAATATTAATGGTAGCAGAAGCAGCGGTACTTATATCAACAGCACATGTTAACAGATGCTTTGTTCCAATCTCTGGCGTCATGTTCTCTCCTTCTTGAGTCTCTAACTTAACTCTCCACTGTCTCTAGCCCAACTCTTGCCCGGGCTAATTCTCTTCTGTCTCTCACTTCCGCCTGCCTCTTCTGTCTCTCACTTCTGTCTTCTGTCTCTCACTTCCGCCTGCCTCTTCTGTCTCTCACTTCCGCCTGCCTCTTCTGTCTCTCTCTTCCCTGCCTCTTCTGTCTCTCACTTCCGCCTGCCTCTTCTGTCTCTCACTTCGCCTGCCTCTTCTGTCTCTCACTTCCCGCCTGCCTCTTCTGTCTCTCACTTCCGCCTGCCTCTTCTGTCTCTCCTTCCATGCCTCTTCTGTCTCTCACTTCCGCCTGCCTCTTCTGTCTCTCACTTCCGCCTGCCTCTTCTGTCTCTCACTTCCGCCTGCCTCTTCTGTCTCTCACTTCCGCCTGCCTCTTCTGTCTCTCACTTCCGCCTGCCTCTTCTGTCTCTCCTTCCGCCTGCCCTCTTCTGTCTCTCACTTCGCCTGCCTCTTCTGTCTCTCACTTCCGCCTGCCCTCTTCTGTCTCTCACTTCCGCCTGCCTCTTCTGTCTCTCACTTCCGCCTGCCTCTTCTGTCTCTCACTTCCCCCCTGCCTCTTCTGTCTCTTCCGCCTGCCTCTTCTGTCTCTCACTTCCGCCTGCCTCTTCTGTCTCTCACTTCCGCCTGCCTCTTCTGTCTCTCACTTCCGCCTGCCTCTTCTGTCTCTCACTTCCGCCTGCCTCTTTTTCAGCATAACTACATGTTTATATATAAAACCCGGCTGGTCATAACCGACCCTTGGCTCTACTACTTTGCACGTGATTATCACGGGATTTTGGCTGTTTCAACCAGAATCATGTGAATTCTAAAGGTCCTCCTTGCTTACTCAGCTCTATTCTAAGTTTTAATCAATAAAAATTATTTTGTCCATTTTCATTGTCTTCTGATGACCCAGATTCAATGGGTACAACTTCTGCCCTAGATCAGGTTTTACCATCAGTAAACAAAAATGCTCCGATCTAATAATTTCGCTGTTCAAATCCACTCCAATTTCACTAAAAAAAAAAGAAAAAAAAAAAAAGCTCACTAGCCTCAGTAGCTGATAAGGAACTTTTCTTATTTCTTCCTCATATTCTAACACCTTTTTCTCACATGCAGTTTTGTCTCTCATTCCAGTCTGAAAAAGTGGGTGGAATCATGTAGTTGAAGTTGAATAGCTTTCCCCTCTCTTTTTTTTCGTCTATAATTGTGTGTATATATATATATATATATATATATATATATATATAAATTTAAAACTGTGACATCAAACTACTGTAGTTTTATCACTTAAATCTACCAGTATGTGTTTTATATCTTGCTCAACTTAAGTTCTTGCTTGATAGTGATAACTAATTTACATATTTAACCTTAAAAATTAAATTTTTAAAGGTATGTTTTATTACATGTTTCCAATCTGTTCTTTTGTGATCTTTATTAATAAGCAATTGTTAATTTGGTTTTTTTTTGTTTTTTTTTTGTTTTTGTTTTTCTTCAAGTGAGAACAACCTTAGCATTTAGAACACATTTTGGGATTGAAGGGAAATAAACAGTGTTGACATTTAATATTTTTATTTTTGTTTTAATAGTATATTTTTAAGATCAAACAAATCGTATAAATTATAACAAGCTGCATATGAAATGATCAACACTTAAAAACTCTAATCATTTTCTTAAATGGTTTCATCAGATTGAAACTTTCATTCATGACCACAAACCCATTCAGAAATGTCTAAGCTGTTATCAATATACAACTGCTTTCTCACACCAACTGTAAAAAAATGGCTTCAAGCTAGTGAAGCATGTAGGTTTTAGTGAGGACCACCCTTATTTGAAGCTTGTCGATTTGTATTTACAGAATTATAGACAAAGAACTGTACCAAATAATAGAAACCACATCACTTAAGGACTTTCAATCGCGGCAACAATTAAAATGGATAGCACATGTAACTTTGAAGGGAAAATAATGACATAATTGATATTTTGATATTCCACACAACTTCAAACAAAAGGTTAGGAAAGAACCCCCCCCCATCAATATTGGGAAGAGTGATAACAGTGGACTTGAGAAACCTATTTTCCTGAACAATCATTTCAAGAGAAAGATTATAAAAATTTAATTTGAAAGTAGTATCAGAACAAGACTAGATATCCCTAGACATAGACAATGTAACAAGAAAAAAAATCTACTCCCAGCAGATTAAATAAAGGATTCACTTTGAAATTCCTTGAAAGTTACCCCAGATAAACAATCACCTGAGGAGGGATGGTGGGGGGGGGGTCACGTCAGCCAAAATCTTGTGATGCTAACAAGAAAGATGAGGATAATAGTCTGTATGCAAATATTGATAACACATCCTCTCAGGAATTTAGACAGAAATTTCCATTATTTACTCAAAAACAGGCAAATTTATTGGTACAAAGATCTGTGATAAAAATCAATGCAAATCCAATAGTAAAACATGTAATAATGTATATAAAGTAATTTTAAAGAAATTCCCTTTCTTTAAATGCTGGAATTGTACAAGTGTCACTGCAACTAGAAATAATCATTTTCATCCAAAATCTTTTTTCATATCATAGATTATGCACTCCAAATAACAAATGTCCATTTTTTTTTTTTTTTTTTTTTAATTAAGATTTTCAAAATGTTGGGTGAGGTTTCACTTTGCTATGTAAATTCTTTATAAATTGATCCCTCCCTATGGAAGCCTAAATAAAATGTGGTTATATCATGTGCAGTCCTTGGTTTAATAATAAACTACATCTGGCAGCATGGTCTCTGATCGGAAGATTGGAGGTTTTGAGGAGTGTGGAACCACCTCTTAATTGCTGTCGTTCCCTGGTTTGCATTGATCTGGAGTGGTAGCAGCTGTCAGGGTCTTAGTTATGGCCAAATAGTGACCCCCCCCCAAAAAAAAACAAGACACTATGAAAGTATATAAGTATATTTTTATAGTAAAAATACCAGCAGTACATTTTTTTTTTTTATATATAAAAAAAAAAAAAATTGTAGCAACTTCACCCAAATTTGTTTAAAATACTACCAAACAACCAACATAAAACTTTCATGATATTAAGCCATATAATTATCCTATATTTCTTAAATTAAATAGTACTCCAAAATACAACTTCAACAAAATTACAACATAAAACACACATATCACCACCTCTAGTAATCATGTTCACACAAACATATATATGCACAAAAGCTGAGGATCATCTACCATGTAATCAATTGTGAAAGCAGAATAACATATATCACATTTTTATTATTTCAAAGCTCCCAAGGAAATTAAATTTTGACATTAAATGACCCATAAGGTGTTGATATGCTGTTAAACAGACAAATCAATGAATATACTATGATTTCTTAAAAAAAAGTACATTAATAACATTTTTTGAAATTCATAATCTGGAGTTCTTTTTTGATTGATTTTTATTGATTAAGCATTTCAGAATAAGAATTTAAAAATAAACTGTTTTGTTTTTGAATTTTATGAAATCACATTTTATGTGCATATTTGTTTTGGCTTTTGTAGGGGGATCAATTTACAATGAATTTAAAAAGCAAACTGGACTCCCTATTAACTTTTATAAAATTTAATAAATTTTTTTGTTTTTAATTTGAAATCTGAAGTTCTTGAATAGAAATTAATGACAAAAAATGATTGTCTCTGGCTAGAGTGCATATTGTCCAATTCTCCCATTTCATTTTCCCCACATAGCTTATGTCATAATTCTTAATCTTTGATTACTGCCAATTTTCTGAAAACCTTTTCTTTTTGTTTCTCATATTCTTCTTCTTTTTCTTCCTAGGTGGTTCCTGGACGTTCTTGGATATCGTAAGGACAGTTCGTTGTTTATCTTAAACGGAGTTTTGATGACACTGGTGTTCTTCGTGGTGCGAGTGGCTTGCATGCCCCTCTATTGGTATAAGGTGTACAGCATCTACGGCACAGAGTCATTCAGCCGTCTTGGACACATGCAGTTTGTCCTGGTCGCCACCTGCTTGGTGCTCGATACCATTAATATTTTCTGGTTTTACAGAATGTGTGCAGGAGTTCGAAAAGTCCTCACTTCCCATGACAAAAACAGAAACATTAAGACTCAATAAGACCAAAAAAGAAAAGAAAAATGTTGCCATCATCATTATTATTAATTTTTTTTTCATTTCAGTAAAGATTAAAAAAACAAAACAAAACCTACAGTATTCTAATAGCAGTAGTAGTGGTCATAGAAATTGTGAATAGTATTACAACTGCCATATATGATTGATTGGACCAATTGAAGTTTAAATTTTTTTTGATCATATATTGGATGGTCCTTTTAACCTGGGTAATCCTCAGGGTATCAAACTGATATACCCAGCAATAATTGACTGACATGTTAGTAAATTATTTCTGTAGGATAGAATAGGTGATGTACGGGTTTTTTGAACGGGTTTTTTGGGGAATGGGTTGGCAGTGTAGTTGTTGAAATAAGGTCACTGTTTACATTTCTTTTCTTCCTGAAGAAGACAACATTTCATTTAATTGAAGAGTTGTAGATTTGGGCTTTTGCGTAATAATACTATAAAATTTATTGAAATCAAAGAAATATGAACCAATTTCTTTGCTGTCTGACATTTTTTTTTTTTTTTTATATATAAATGACTATCCACTTCATTTATTGTTTGATAATTATATTTTTTTGAAAACTTAAGATAAAAAAAAATTTGTCTACTAAACCAATATTCTTTTTCCAAATTGGAAATTTTTTTTTAGTGGGTGGGAATTGAGATTCAGCAAAAAACATAGAGGAAGGCTGCAGATCCCACTGGGCAAATTAATGTTTGAAAGAACAAAGATGCTCGTTGTAATAGCTCATCAAATACCATTTTTGCCATCTCTCTTTTTTTGTTTCTATATTTCGATAGAGAATCCTATCAAATATTCCTTGTTATATGACATTGGATAGAAGCCTTGTAGCCTTAAAGCAGTGGCAGAATGCAAATAGTATATGAGTAAATATATAATTTTGAGTGTTTCAGAAGAAAATATTAACCCAAAAGACAAGTTTTTATTTTTTTAATTTCACCCCAAACAAGGCAATAAAGCCACTAAGACAAAAGATTATTGAGTGTGAAAGAATATGAAAAAAAGAAAAACATTAAGGAGAAGGAACAATAAATGAACAGCAATTATGATAATGGCTGAAATTGCATTTAAACTTTTGCAGATCAAAGTTGATTGGAAAACAAAAAGCTGGAAGAGAATTCTACAATTGAGAAATGCAAGAGAAGAAACTATTAGCATAGAACTTAGTTTCATTTAGCAATTTCAACTGTAAAATGATGAGATCTAGATGCCAATCTAGTACTGCACTTACATTTATAAAGTTAAGGTGCCAAAGCAGAAATCTCGTCAGAATAATTGCTATGAAAATATTTACAGTAGGAAAGTCGAGATGCCAAGTCGGGACTGATGATATTGCATATTCTTCTTTGGGTTTTATCAAGAATTTCTAAATACATATCAGATGCACCAGACCAGATAGGGCAACAATATTCAATGCATGAACAAATGGTAGACTTATAAATGGGTAAGATAGATTCTGGTGAGAGAAATTGTTTAGGTTGTAGGTTATACATAGGATTAAAAACTATTGTAAGGTTTACTTAAAATCCATACACACTTCGTCCTCCTTAAATAGGCAATGGCTTCAAGTTTTTGGTA